AAGTGTTTCGAGTCTCCGACTACGGATGGTCTTATATGTAGTTTCGAACGGGGCGTTGTAGAAACCGAGAATTTTGCTTGTACCTCCATATACAGGCACGAATGACCACGAGAAGAATGTCTCTTCAAGATAGCCATATCTCTCGATTGGCAGTCTATCATTCTCTTTCCTGACACTCTCCCCTGTTCTTGCACATTCCCTGAATATTGGCGAAACCCCGTCCCATAGTTCACGGAAAGGTCCTGAAAATCCGGTGCCCATAAGATCTGGGTGTTTGTTCCCAGCGACCTCGTTCTTATATGCCTCATTGTAAAGCATCGTCAGATCCTCGCCCCAGAAGAGTGCCACAGGGTGGGGGTTCCGCATCACCAAGTTGACGATTTCGCGGAACTGCACTGGCCAGCTAGACATGCGACCCAGAGGGGTAGCAGCCCAGTCCATACTTCTAGCAAAGAGAAGATGTTCGGAAAGATGTCCTTTTGGATTCTCGACAGTCCAGTCTGGACAACCTTTTTCGGGCGACGAAGACAGTGCTACGGAGGTACCGCTACCGATTGTACCGCTCGACGTACCGGCCGAAGTCTTTTCAGACCGCCCATTAGCCAGCTGCAGTGGTGCGGACGAGACCAAAGTACTGCTTTGTGCGGTGGGGATAACATCAGTCGTCGAGGTACCCAGCCGTGAAATCGAGTCCTCGTCCTGGGTAGTGTTGAGAGGTGAATTTTGCGTTCGTGTTGGAGCAATGCTCATTTCTGTAGGTGAGCCGTTGAGACTGGCTTTAGGGACGTGTGAAGTGTCAAAACACTGATTCCCGCTGATGATACGCCACCGCCGTCGAATAGTGGAGCCTGTCCATAACATATCACGATATATAATCGTGAGCGGGAAGACATCTCTCGAGTCGTCAAATTCGGTCACACTTGTGACCCAGTTTTTGAACGCTTGATATGTCGTTGCCTTTTGCGCACCGACGTCGATGGCGACTTCTGTATTGCTGTCGGGGCCAACAACACTATCCAACAGGCGGTCGTGAAGTCGGAGTGCAGTGTTGCAAAAAATGGGCCGAAGACAATGTTTAGTGTCTCCGTCGTAATCCAGATAGTCGGAGTCGAGGTCTAGCACAAAGGTTGGCCGGGAATCCTGGTCAAGGATCTCCCTCAAGCTAATGCTGTCGAGGTCATTTAGGGCCTTCTGGTTGAGTTCGTCACTTGGACGCTTCGTGGTTGTTCCGGGAGCCGGTGGTGTCTCCGACATTTGATCGGTGCAGATCGAACCAGAGATCGAGCGCTGAGATGGACTTTGCGTTCAACGTCACTCGCTGCGGTATGCACGGGCGTGAATCTCGATCTTGCACGTGCAGACAAACATGCTAAAGCTCGCTAGACCCAAGGGGGTTAGCTTAGAGAACACGTCGAACACATCCAGACGTCACCCGAGATCTTCAAAGATTTGGCTATCTAAATCGCAAAATTGTGGTATTGCTCTACTTTGTGGTATACTTGAAACACGACACTCCGAGCATACGTTCATACTAACGTTCATACCAACATTTGCATCTACATGAGCCTCCGGACAACCGCAATGGCTCCTCTCAAATGGCTGCGTCGGGGGGTGGAGGTATGAGCAGACGACTTTTGTCAAGAAACTTATACTTTCACACAGCCTCGGTCGCAGTCGTTGCACCGCCCAAAGCATCCTTCTCCTGAGCAATGACCTTCTCAATACTGGCCCTAGCTTCTCCCTTGGCTTGTGCATCGTGTACGGCTTCAATTTCGATTTCGAGACGAGAGTGGCCCTTGTTTGTCTTCCAGGCATGAGGCCCTTCCTTGCTGAACAGAACCTCGATCTCCTCTAGTGTCTTTTGGCATGTCTACATGACAAGTCAGTAAAGAACTTCCCGACAGAGGAAGGAAAGGGTTACCTCGGGATAGGTGAAGTAGAATTGGATGGCAGCACCAAAGCACAGGGCTCCAAACACGATAAACAACTTCCATTTGATGGTCTGGAAGGCCGGAGGGATGAAGAGTCCGATAGCTGGATACTGTCAGCTGAATCATGGGTACATAGTCCAAAGGCGACTTACCAAAATTGAACAGCCAGTTACCAATGGCAGCGATTCCCATCCCATTTGCACGCGTTTCCAAAGACCAAACCTCTGCAGCGTAAACCCAGCAGATGGGCGCAAGGGTGAGTGCATAGAGGATGATGAGTAGGTAAGAGAAGGCAATGACTGTGTGCGCCGGAGCCCCTGTCACCAGCATAACGACATTCTTATCGTCGTGAACACCCTCTGAGTGGATTCAGCGAGAGTTTGGGGATGTATGAGTCATCGTAGTTACTCACCAGGTACATACGTGTAGTGCGCTCCGAGGACACCACCGACGACCATATGGCAGATACCCATCGCGAGGGCACCGTACACAAGGAGCGTCCTGCGGCCAATTTTGTCCACAAAAAAGAACATTATGGTTGAAAAGATGATGAAGAGTGCATATTGCACACCTGACGAGATTAGGTTTACGTTTCCTGATAGATTAGCCATGTAAAAGATGTAGACAACGTAGTACTGGGAAAGCGTCAGTAATTGATCCGTAGCAATCGAGTATCAGCGCTCACCGTCATGACGTTGGCGCCAGACAGCTGCTGCCATGCCTGTACACTAAAGCCGGCAAGAGTCCTCTTCCACATGCCATTCAACACAAACTTTCTCCATCCTTTAGGTGCTAGGCGCTCTGCGTTCAATACGGCCACAATCTCCTCGTATTCCGCCACAACATATGGGTCGTCGAGGTCACCTCCGGCCTGAATGTTTGCGAGAATATGGATAGCTTCTTCTGTTCGGTCTACTTTAGCTAGCCAGCGCGGCGACTCTGGGAGGAATGGGAGACCGATCATAAAAAGGACGCAAGGGACAAACTGAATGCCCCAGGCAGTCCTAAAGGACGCGGTCTCGCCTGGGATAAAAGAGCAGCCGTAACCGATGAAGTACCTGCTCTTAATCAACACCTGGGTAATATTGGGCGGAGTATAGCGGCGCATACATGATTAGAATACCCCATTCAATGGCCAGTTGCTGAATAACAATGATAGCACCTCGCTGAGAGTGCTTTGATATTTCGGCCAAGTATACAGGCACTTGAGAGGAAGTAATGCCAACAGTCACGCCGTTGAGAACACGTCCTGTGATCAACATGCCACGGCCATTGCAGGCGACTTGAACGGAAGTACCAAGGAGCCACCATAGGCAGGCAAATGCCAAAGCAAGACGACGACCGAATTTATCAGAAACAGGGCCGGCGATGATGGACCCAACGACTGAGCCGGCAGCAAGAGCTGAACCAATGGAGCCTTGAATCAGTCCGTTCGGATTATCAAAATAATTCCTATCCACCAAGTCAGCCTCGTGTCATCAATGTCGCCAATTGGAGGCTATTGAATATACTCACAGGTATTGATCGGTTCCGATAATCGCACTCATTGACGAGATATCGAAACCAAACAGCATGCCGCCCATCGTCGCGACACATGCTAAAAAGTAAACATTGTAAATTTTGGGGAATTTGAAACCCATGATGACTGCGAAGCTCAACACGGCTCGTCGCTTTCAATTGCGGGGAAGGGAGCTGGAGCACTTCGTACCCCATGGGCCGCGGGGACGACCCATATATAAGCTTGCAAAAACCCCGGGCATCTTGTCCCAGAATTCCAAGTAGTGACGTTCCCTACTCCAGCTACAGCTCCGCGAGGCTACACTGAAGCTGCATGGTTTCCGACCGGCTATATTAGCTGATCAAGGCGCATGTCCAGCGTAATCGTCCTGTTCTTGACATGATCTACCTCCGGTGGTAAATATGACGAGCCGGGATATGTTGGAGCGAGGTACCCACTATTCGTGGAAACATCAACTCGACTTGGAGCATTCCGATGGAACCCTGTGTTTGGCGTTTAGAGTCTCCATACCTGCGAGGAACGCTTCGTTGGCTTGTGATTGTGCCGTTTCGGGACACATCGAATAGGCGAATGTTTCGGGACATGCTACTTCAGAAGAGTGTAGAGATCGAAGTAAGAGGTTTGAGAGCTGTCTATACTGTATGGATATCTCCGCATGTGAAGTCGCATCGTGATGCTGGGGTTTGGGGTATGTGCGGGAAGGAGCGCGGTGCAGGAACGCACAGGCCGCTGAGATCATCTCGCGCTTTCTGAAACTGCAACGTTTTTTGGACTTCGACCAGGAAGGGATTGAGCGACCAAAGGGCCTCGTGGCGAGACAGCGATGTCCAGCTTTTGACCTCTGTGCTGCGTTACCTTCAACAAGTTCACCAGCGGCGGCCAGCTTGAGAAGATATTCGAGATAACTCAAGCGTCCTCGTCTTGAATGATACGGAATTCGAGAAGATAGATCTATAGGAATTGAGGTATCTGAGTATCTTGTTATTGGATACAGACGTTCTTGTGTAATCAGAGCGATCTTGAATGCTTGGATTTCTGACTCCAAGACTGCTTTAGATCCTAGGCATGTGATTTTTGACAAGGCAAGGTAATTGATCGGAATAGGATTACAACCCCGCCCTAGAACAGAGGTACTTGACAGTATTGGAAGTATTTCCTTCTTAGTATTGAAACCTTACTACAAATATGGCGGCGGTAGTATTTTCTTATGCCAATCAATTTCAGGACGCGCTGTTCCCTGTCAGTAAACTATTGTATGATATCCAGGCCTGAAGTCAATGAACTCACAGAGATTTTATCTTGATCTAATAGTCTACCTAGTCTCTAAATCATGTTGACCTCGTCTCGAATTTCTTCTACGCGTTTTGGGATCCTGGATCCACCACCCCACCCTTTCGGCCCGCAAACCCTTACCAGCAACCTAGTCATCATCCACCCCACAAAAAGGCTACAGTACAGCAAAACAACATTCTTGCATCTATGCTACACTAAATATACACTATAAGTACTATTTAATTTTGAAAAACGTCATCGGTCAAATCAGACGAAACGGTCTTGTGGTCTAGAGGTATGATTCTCGCTTAGGGTCCAAGGATCTGAGCACAATTGCGAGAGGCCCCGCGTTCGAATCGCGGCAAGACCCGTTGCAATGTTTCTTTTTTGCCAGTCTTTGGTCATTGGTTGACATGCTAGCTTTTTGCTGGCGAGTTGCTGACAGGGATGAGGTACCATTTCTTTTTTGTCCAACTTGGTAGATAGAATGCTCTGCAAAACTGCATATCGTCATGTCCATTTCCACCCGCATTCGCTGTGTTTTTCTTTCTCAAATATCATTTGAAGTGCTGTCGGATTCTTAATGCCCTTACTATTTTTAGTGTAGCGCATAACGCAGGTCCCAGTTTCTAGCAAATCGATAAGTCGCAGCCTCCGACATCAACAAAGCTCCAAAAGATCGAACACCCATCCCACAGGCCCAACCGCTCTCAAAGGTCTGAATCATGGTCAATTTAAGCTGGCCATACGCAGAAAGTCCAGGGAAAGGGTTCTGGGGTGTTCCGAGTTCGAACCACAAGTAAGTGCACCTCACCGAACGGTGTACATGTACAAGTAATTGCTAACCAGGATTAGTTTCTGCGAAGAGGTGTGGAAAGACTATTGGCGATAAGATTACAAGGCAGAAGCTGACGGCAATGTAGGACTACATCATTACGCATTACATCGCCGAGTTCGCCAATACGTTCACCAATCTCATATACGGTACGCTCGCTCCAAGTACCGCTGCCCCCCAGCACATACTTACACAATCGAACAGTGATATACGGGGCTCACGGTCTCCGTCGAGTCCGACTTCAAAAAGACGGCGGCCTGTTCTCTACCCTCGCATTTACCTACTGGGGCCTCATCGGCGTGGGGCTCCTATCAGCATGGTTTCATGCCACACTGAACTACCACTCGCAAATGGCCGATGACCTCTCCATGTTCCTGGCTGTAGGCTCCCTGCTGCATCAACTCCTCACTTTCTTCGCCACGCCCTCGCAACGGCTCACAAGAACCGTAACCCTCCTCGGTATCGTCATCCCCGTCTCCGTCTACCACTGCTGGACCAACGAGATCTACGCCCACCAAGTTACATTCGCCGCCATGGTCTTCCTGTGCGGGCGCAAGATCCGCCAACTCACTCGGGAGAGGGTCAAGAACAAGGAGGCTAGGGCGAGGTTGGGAAGAATAACCAGCATGGGCATGGGATCGGGGTTATTTGGCTATTTCCTCTGGAACATAGATGTGCATCTTTGCTCCCATCTCTCGCGCTTCCGGCACTCGCTTGGCCTTCCCTGGGCTTTTCTCTTTGAGTTGCATGGCTGGTGGCATATCTTCACTGGCATTGGCGCCTATACGGGTATGGCCCTCGTTGAATACCTCGTTACGATCGAAGAGGGGAAGACGGATACGATTGAGGAGGGTTTTGTGTGGCCTGTACGGGCGGTGTTGAGGGACATTGAGGGTGTAGAGAAGAGTGGAAATGGAACCGTCGGTAGTGAGGGGAAGAAAGGACAGTAGAGCAGAGAAGGGAGTAGGCAATGGTGCTTTCTTGAAGGAACTAAAGAGAGGTTGGAACAAGAACTGTAAATAGATGCTAGAACATAGTCACGACTAATACTATACCACAATCCTATATGGACGGTTGTACCTTAAGCCATTTCTACGATATCCACATCAGCATGTCCACTGCGGACCGGACTTGCCGCGCACTCACATATCCGGTCCTCCGACCGACACAGAACCTACAACTCCCGGCCAATGTCGATGCCTCTGGAATACTTTGCATAAACGTCTGCAAGCGACCACATTGTTTCCCATAAAGGGCAAGTCCTAGCATCACACCGAGACCATCATGCTGGGTCGCTGTGCCTTTGCTTAGCGGTGAATTGCTGATTGGCGATTGGCGAATGGCGATAACGCAAACGCCGAGCTTCTTCCAAAGAACTGAACGGGATGTGGGGCGTCTACGAATCCGTAGCGGCACAACATTACGCCATGGAGGACTCAAGAGACAGACTCGCCACTGTATAGTTTGAGACATATATAAAGGTGTCGATGCAGCGCACGACTCGGGATCAGAAGCATTAGATCGTTATCAGTCTAACACGTCATTCAACTACTCCCACACTTGGGCGAAAAAAGCATCCGCGACTTCAAAGTTCGAACTCCAATTCGACAATATGGTCAAGCTCTTAAACAAAGAGGTCGGAAACCCGGGCTACGGGCTCATGGGTACGTCTCCCCTATGCTCAACACTCGCAAAGTACTCACACTTCACAGGCCTAACATGGCGCGCCAACCCGCAACCCGCCGAAAACTCCTTCGAAGCTATGAAAACCGCCCTCGCCAAAGGCGCTTACTTCTGGAACGGCGGCGAGCTCTACGGCACGCCGGAGCGCAACTCTCTGCACCTCCTCAATGAGTACTTCACCAAATACCCCGAAGACGCGGACAAAGTTGTCCTCTCCATCAAAGGCGGCCTAGTGCCCGGCACGCTGAACCCGGACAACAGTGAAGCCAATGTTTCGCGCAGTATTGAGGAATGCCTCAAGGTGCTGGACGGAAAGAAATCCCTCGATATTTTCGAGTGTGCGCGTCTGGAGCCGAACACTCCCATTGAGTCAATGATTGGGACAATTGCCAAGTACGTGAAAGCTGGGAAGGTCGGTGGGATTGGGTTGAGTGAGGTGGGTGCAGAGTCGATCCGCAGGGCGCATAAGGTGCATCCGATTGCGGCGGTGGAGGTTGAGTTTTCGCTGTATTGCACCGATATCCTCACCAATGGCGTTGCGCAAACTTGCGCCGAGCTAGACATTCCTATCATTGCGTACTCACCTCTCGGTCGAGGTTTCTTGGTAAGTCAAAACCTCCCGCAACACTCTGTGTATCTTTTAGCGAGCACAACCAGCTGACTTAGCAGACTGGGCAATGGAAGACACTCGACGACATCCCCAAAGACTCCCATATCCGCTACTTCCCGCGCTTCCAGCCCGATGTCTTCGACGAGAACATCAAACTCGCCGAAGAAGTCCAGAAGATCGCTGCGGCCAAAGGGGTCACTCCTGCCCAGATAGCCTTGGGCTGGGTCGTCGCCCACAGCGGCAAGGACGGGTTGGCTCAAATTCTGGCTATTCCCGGTTCTACGACGTCTGCGCGTGTGGAAGAAAACTCGAAGCCTGCGGTGCTCAACGAGGAGGATCTTGCCACGATTGGCGAGGTTCTGAAGAAGATTGAGATCAAGGGCGCGCGGTACCCGGGCGGTGCAGGGGGCGAAGAGTAGATGAAGTGTTTCTAGGGCTTTCCTTGTTAGCTATGTATAGCAAGAATTTGAGTGCGTCGCGTAGCAGTGTACGGGGAAGGGTGTCAGATCAAGTGTAGTGAAAGAGCTGATCCGCAGTCGGCTTGCTTTGCAGCTCGCCGTCAGAATTGCAGAACTCAAATTGTCATCATGATATAAGTAATGAGAGAAGCAATACTCACAGTCTACATGTGGACCTATTTTACGTGTGTGTGTGTGTGTGTGGCGGTGGGGACGTGAAGTAGGTGGTAGGTGGTAAGAAAGCGAAATTGGACGGAAAGCCGCACCTTTGACTGGCTCGTGCGTCGTTCCCGTCGGTCCCCAGAGCTGCATACATATAAGTTATAACGCGCCGCCCAACCATCCATCTCCCCAAGCACCTCCCCAAGCCCTCGCCCATTCTGTCACCACCCACAATGGACGCCGACTCCGACCTTTCAGACTACGCCAGCGATGACTTCCCCGAAGACGTCAAAACACGCGGCGGTCGCGGCCTCTCCATCGAACACACCCCCGACCACGAGCCCTCGCCCGTGCCTAACAAGCGTCTGCGACTCACCAACCGGGCGCCTTCAAGCCCGCCTCCCCCCGCGATCCAGCCGCTCGAGGACGACCTGGGCGCGCTCTCCGAAGACACCGATGGCAGTGTGCCAGCCTCGCCGCATCACCCCGGCATGAGTGCCGACGACGAATATGGCCAAGACCAGGTCTCGGTGTGCAAGTGGGATGGCTGTGAAGCAGGCGACCTGGAAAATATGGACAATCTAGTGGAGCATCTGCACGACGACCATATCGGGACGCGGCAGAAGAAGTATAGCTGTGAATGGAGCGATTGCAACAGGAAGGGGATTCCACATGCTAGTGGCTATGCGTTGAGGGCGCATATGCGTAGCCACACGAGGGAGAAGCCATTCTACTGTACCCTGCCCGGTAAGCCCTCCCTATCCTCATCCACTGCCCAGCCAAGTGCTGACAGAAGTAGAATGCGACCGTAGCTTCACCCGCTCCGATGCCCTGGCTAAACACATGCGCACCGTCCACGAAACCGAAGCCCTGCGCCCCTCCGACCCCGTCCCCAAAAACCACTCCTCCAACCCAACCAACAAAAACCAACGCCTCAAGCTCCATCTCTCGGCCGAAGCTAAGCGCTCTGCGGAGAAAGGCTCTACGCCTGCGTCGCCATCCTCACATGCACCGAACAGCGCGACGATACCCACGAACCCCGGGAGCGGTGGCGGTGGCGAGTCGGAGTACGCGCACAACAACGTGATCTACATACAAGACCGCGCTACACCAAATGCGCCGACAATGGTGCAGTTCCCGCCAGATATCAGTCTCACACCGCGCGAACTCGCACTCCCTGCGCCCGAACTGTTTAGATTACTGCGCCAGCAACTACACTGGGCGACGCAGGAAGGCGAGACGCTCCGCGCAGAAGCACAACTCTTGGAGAAGAAGCGCAAAGACGAATGGACAGCCAAGGAGCTGCTCGTGGAGAACCTCATGGAAGCCGAGGCCGCGAAGGAGAAGCGCAAGCTCCTCGAAGCTGGCGAGACGCAGATACCGCATCATCTCGCCCTTTTGGAACACGATGTTGAGCCGTCGAGGAAGCTTCGCGTCAATTCCGTGGACGACAAGCTACCATGGTGGAGGGATGAGTCGTGGGGTGGGCGGCTGGAGCACTTTCAACAACCGCGGACGGGAGCTTCGTTGGCTGATGTTAGGCCCGACGAGATTGTCGCGACGGCAGAGAAGTAGTAGTATTCGGCGAATGCACAACAAGGATATGGCGTTGTTTACGGGTT